CCAACTTTGATACCGGGCACCGCCTCCAACAGTTTCTACAAACAAATATTAATACAATTGGGATGATGACAGGGTATGAAAATTATAAGTCTAATTAGTCCGTAAGTTAGGTATTTAAAAAATATTAGACACGTATTTTTTATTTTGTCGTATAATAAAAGAATACTTAGATAAAACGGATCAACGTTTAGGAGTGGGGGTTAAAACGTCATTTCTACGTATAAAATGTACATAAAAGTGACGTCACACGACATTTCAAATCAATATATCGTGGAAAGTATTCGTTTCTGTAAGAAAATAAAAAATACGTGTGTAATGATTTAAAATAATCTACCAGACGGACATTAAAATAAAAATTAGTCGTCTACCCTATTGGGTGATGTCGTTATTTTTATAATGTAACAGTACGTTAACGATTAGTGGATTGGAAAATCGGTCTGTGAAAAATAATTGAGTTTACATTATTGATTGAATTTTCAGAAAAATACTACGACCTTATAACAAAATATTTTACCTGGTAGATATGGTCGCGCAAGTCCACGAAGGTATGTAGAGCGGAGCGCAGGAACAACATGACGTCCTGCGCGGCCGGCTCGCTGCCGTCACCCAGCAGCTCTAGCAGCGCCGGGGCCACGCTGCCTGCTACTTCAGGGAACTGGAAGCGATTGATCATAGTTATTTAATACAACTATCAATATAGCTCTAAGGGAAATCAAATTAAAGTGACAACAGGCTGACATGTGTTCTAAGATGGAATATATCGAGTTAAAAGTGAGTAGGATGCTCCTCAACTTCTAGTTCAGTGGCGTGTTCATGAGTAACATCTATGCAATACTGAATGTCGCGGAGAACCTAACGGGTAACCGGGGCTCCGGCTCGACGTGCAGGAGAAGGAACGGGGTGGTTTTTAGTCAGTAAGAGTCTGACACTCCCTCCCGCCTCACCCAGGCGGGGGCAGTCATTCGATGATTTTCCCCCCTTAAAAAAAAAAAAAAAAAAAAAATGCAATACTGAATGAAAGTAAAATTAGTGTTAATAATTTTGCACAACCTGACTATGCCATTAGTTATTTCAGCACTCAATAAAGCTTACCTTGAGAGCAGCTCGATGCAGAGCCCTAACAAGCAATTGCCTATACTTGGCAGCATCATCGTGGTCCGCATTAGTAGCTCTGGCAGCTTCCTTCCGCAGTACTTGTACGAGGTCCTCAGCGTGTCTGGAGGACACGAGGTCGAGTGCCAGCGCCAGGGTGTGTCTCCTGACGTCGAGGTCTGACGCGGCCAGGACGCGCAGGACGTCCATGGCGAGGTCCGGCAGAGCCCGCGCGGCCGCCTCGCCCGCCTCGGCCCTTAGTGCCCCGAGCCTGCCCACTACTATCAGCTTCACGTTGTTGTCGCTCTCTTTCACTATAAGGTCGATGTAGCATGCTGCAGCCGCCTGGGTCAAACATTTATTACTTTTAAATTAATTACCTTAACATTCCAGATATATAAGCGACGCGTGACGTAGTTTTGCGCATAGCAAATCTTGTTGCGCGACTTGCGCGTCCACAACAAATTCGCTGCGCAACTGCGTCGTGTTAAATGAAATTTTGTTGCGCAACCGCGACCGGCTCGTTGTGCAACCGTAACGTACTCCCTGCACTTTGAGACGTTCGCAATCCGCTAATATGATAATGACCTAAGCTTCAAATTTCTCTAACATGTAATGTCATTCATAAATACTATTATTGTATTATTATCAACTCAGTGAACCGTCTCTCACCTTGATAGCAGCGGGGGCATTAGACAGTGTAACGAGAGTACCGGCGGCCTCGTATCGCACGGCGGCACTGGTCGCGTTCAGTAGTCCATACACTGTACGGATGAAACGAGACCTCTCTGATGGATTCGCGTGGCAAACCTGAATAGCAATCACTAAGTTGTAGTAAGGTGTTCTGATATTATGAAAATTATAATGCAGCAATTTATAATTTTCATAATATCAGGTATACTTCACCACTTAAAGAAGTGTCGAAATTAATGCCAGTAGTGACTCTCTATTCACATTAAGTCTTACCTTGTAAATCAGCTCCACAATGACCAATTGAAGGATATCTCCAAAGCCCTGTACATTATCCAGCCTGGATGACAGGTAGGACAATGCTCGCTCCTGATCAGCATGCAGCAGCATCAGGAATGCATTTCTCTTACAGGACATGTCCTGCTCTGTCTCCAAGAAGTTTGCTACCAGCTCTGGAGCATCCGGGATCAAGAATTCGAAGTTTCTGGTAAAACAATAACATATTGTCTTCAAATTGAATATAAGTTGACTAGAGACAGAAGGATAACAAATTAAGGAACAACAACAACAAAGAACAATAATAACAAAGAAAGGTAAACAAATTCTAATAAGTGATTTCTAATAATTTCTTATTGAATCCAATAAGAAAGCAATAATTCAGTTGAAGTTTCAAAATTCGTTTCAAGTTTCAAATTATTTCTTTTTTAGGCATTCTGTACCTGTAGATGGTAAATATGGCAAGCACAGCATTCCTCCTGACATATGAATGGCGGTGGTCCAGGCAGGCTCTGATGGCGGGCATCAGAGGCTCCAGGAGTTCAGGCTCCTTCAGCTTGCAGAGAAAGCGCAGGGTGGAGCCCCGGATGAACTCATTGGGGTGTTGTAGATCCTGGATAGTGGAAAATCAATGTGATATTCGAAGGTTTTAAATGTTATAGTAAAGTGATACACATTATTTCATGATTTTAAATATTTGTCTGTAATACATGATGGTTTTATTTTATTTTATTTATTATTTATAAGTACCCAATTATTCTAGCCAAAAGTGGAGTAATTGTTTAACATTACATTGCACACTCTAAACAAACATGTTTCATTGCTTTAAAATTAATAATTAGTTGACATTTATAATTTAAATCAATAATCACTGACCTTTCTGTAGGCATCACAGACAAGGATCATCTCCTGCATCAGTTTGCCATCAGGAGTAGTCTTTGGCACAATTTCCCAGAAGATCAGCAACAGCTTCTTGATGGTATGGTCTTGCAGGGGCAGCACAAACCTGATGATGATCATCAATAGACCAGGAATCTTCTCCCCAGAGAGGATGATGCCTATTACCTTCTTTAATGCTTCTATTTTCTTCTTTGTGTCACCTTTCTCTGTTCAAAGATAAGAGTATGTCATTTTAAAATTTTATATTAATTTCTTATAAGATTACTACAAGCAGAACAAGCACAACTAAAACTGGATACAGCATTAACTTGAGCACTGGCCTTTTTGCACTGTATTGGATTTATTTTTTATTTATAGTCAGAATTTTAATTAGATTCCAGATTTGACAATAGCTACTGTCATTTTGTGAAATAATGATACCACATATAATAGTGTAGTGATGAACACAAAAATCGAGAAACAATCAGTGTGTGTGTTTTATAATATATGTTACAGAAAGTGACAGGATAGCGATAGCGATGACGGCGACAATTTATAAAATAACTAATTACCATAATACATCTATCTGTTTTATTTGTCATGTTCCTTCATGATTACATTTTTTATTTATTTCACACACAATTATAAAAGAAAGGTCTTATATCGTTAATTAATCGTCAAAACTTAAATATCGGTTCAGAAATATTTAATTTCCTGATGTACTTAGTTTACGGGAGTAAACTTATAAACGAGAAGAATCGATCCAGAAATAATCCATTTCCATATCGAATAATTTCGCAACGTCACTATTTAGTACTTGTCATAACGTTGCAACACTGAAATTGTCAAATCTGGAATCGAATTAAAATTCCGAGTATAGTGTTTTTGTTTTTCTTTGTTTTATGGTTTTTCTTTTCTTATTTGTAGTTATTCTTATGTGAATGCTATAAGAATATCATATGATAACAGCACTGTTTTATGTAGGTACTTATAGTATCTTACATATTTTTTTTGTGTAAAAGAACTCAAAAGACCAGACTGGTCACCTGCTGGTAAACAATCACCGTCACCCATGGACAACTGTATATGTCCTTTTCTTATGAAATATTTCCATTATTTCTAGCAGTAGTGTGGTGTCCCCATAGTATCTGTTTAGTGCTAAAATTTTACTCACCAAGATCCAGCTTGAGCTGCATCTCATTGTAAGGCTCTGAATCAGTTGGGAAGTTGATCAGAGTATAGCATGGCTGTTCCACGCCCGCCATGCTGAAATTACATCACAAATTACTATTGGACCCTTATTAGAAAATTAATTATATACAAGTTATGATATGATACTTATGTTTTGTATAAAGTCGATTTGTTTAATGTATTTACAGCATGTAATAATTAAAGAAAGAGTTTAAACTGTGTCCAATACGTGAACGAATAGCATTTAATTTAGAAGACTTCTGTTTCGATCATGTTACTAGTGGTCTTCAATTTTAGGGTTTTACTGGTTATTAACCACGGAGGATTCAGTTGCATATTGTTCATTTTAAAATGTTTTAATCTATGTTATATTAGTTCTTTTTAAGACCAAATAGCTGAAATATTTGGCTTGGAAGCGTCCGGTCGATTCATCACACCCATGTCATAATGTATTTACTTACCTAGATTTATTTAAAAACACGGTTTCAGGTCAACAAATAATTGTGTATCACGTTATGTTTATAACACCCGTAGAAATCTATAATATCAAAGGAAATTAAATTAATTTACAACCAAAAACCAAATAGTGAAATAATACGTGTCCACATCCACAACGTCAAATGTCAACGTGACATTGATGTAGTGCTGCAACTACACGATGATAGTGAAATGTGAATAACATAATTCAAGTTAAATGGATGAGTGTTTTTTCTATTTCAGATCTAAATTATACATAACAAACTAGTGTTGTTTGTAAAAGTAATCTTATTGGATAGGTATTCCAATAACAGTAGTGAAATCTATATTAATCAAATTAGATTAAATTCCATTGGCAACCTTAGTTTCCCCCATCCCTGGCCCATTGAAAATCAATAACCATAAATGTCAAAGTTGTCAAATCGACAAAAATATTTTGGGCTGTTGCGCTGTTTGACGTCTTCATACTTTTTCGAAAGTTTCAACTTTGGATTTGCAAAATTATCTGCTGGAAATAAGAAACGTAATGTTTTAAAATCACAAATCCACTATGACGGTATTAGTGTCGTTATTCTATCTTCTATTTTCGATATGTGTCGTCTATCCACCCACCGAGTTCGTGTCGGCCGGCTTTACTATAGCGCAGCTGTTCGAGGGATTCCTTGGATCTGAAAATATAAACTTCATTGGGTATCATATGAAACGGACGACAATAACTGCTTTGATTCATTCTGCTTTGCCTTTGGGCTACGTTTTTACTCTGTTATGTGCTGGGGAGCGCAATCCTTGGTTGCCTGCGGCGGCAGCTGCGACAGCCATTATTCCTCTATTGATGTGCTATAGACTGTTATGTTGGTGGGAAAATGGGCAGGCGAAGCACCCAGTCGTGAAGTCTCTTTTGGCGTATGTGACTCCAGGCAGTGACTGGAGAGTAGTGGCAGCAAACCTCAATATTGAGTTCAGGAAGTAAGTTCACCCCTGATGCAGTATAACATACTCTTATAGTAAATAAAATATACTCTAATATACTCTCATAGTAAATAAAATATTAGATCATAGCATAGATAATTCTAATGGTTGCCCCAATTCCCATAAAACCTTATACATTTAACTAGGTTTATGTATGAAGATAGTTCTAGTATCAAGCCATAGTATTCTATTGTTGTTGCAGTGTAGACAAAGTGTCAATACAGCTGAATACAACAAGTAGGTTTGTTGCCACTGAGAACTGGCTGATCAAACTCAGCCCATACAAACTCAATGTTGTCAAGCAAGGAGACTGCACTCTTGTTGCTACTGCGGTAAGTACTTAAATGTTTGTGATCATTTTTTTACTTTTATGGGATTAATATTAGACCTCCAACTCTTCTGGCCATTAACTTACTGCTCATTAATTTACTTTAAATTCTACGGAATAATTGATTTTAGAGTATGACAACATTAAACAAGAAAAGTTGTGGACAATTTGAGTAAGCAAGCTGCTGGCACTGCCAGTTTAACAAATTATAATTTTAACCATTTAGGTATTTTGATACATGAATCTCTAGAAATATTATTTTTTGGTGATTAACATTTTTATTTTTATACAGACATAAAATGTGTGAAATTAATTAATTCACTTTAACTTTTATTGTATAAAAATATAACATTTTTGTTAATTTACATTTTAAATATTCTTTGAATATTGTTTTAAAACTTTGAAAAAACTTGAATTTAATATTTATGCTACTGTAGTTTTGCATAATTACTTTACATTATTTGTACCATAACCGAAATATTAAATGAAAATCACAGTTAGATTAAAAAATTGTTATGTTTATTCAAAGTGTTGATACTGTCCCAGTTATAATTTAATAGAGACAAAAATTAATTGATAAGTGTAACAAAATTGTGATAAGAGATAAAGAATTATTCAGTTATTTTAATTGCACATAAAGTTCTCACAATCTTGTTCTTCTTATCTGAACCTAATATTTTTGTATAATTTGATAACTATGTTATGCTTAATGAATATCAACAGGATGCCGGTCTTTTGATAATTAACTAAATATTTCAAGGCCGTTTTCAACAATTTTATAACTGGGTTGCCATTAACTCGTTGAGTATTGTCATTGTAGACACAATTAAAGAACAATAGGTTGCGGTCACCGGTGACTACTCGGTGTTTGACAGTTTAATATTAAATCCTAACATTTTTGGCTATATACATCAGTATCTTAAATGGAGTGAATGCTAACTTGCTGCACTTTTACCAGTTACAACCAATAGTTGTTTTTATTCTAATATGTATATTGTGTGATGACTCCTTTGATATTCTTAAGGATTATTTATCCTTTCATTCTGATTAATTCACAAAACCAAAATCAAGTAGTTACTTCAATAACAATCATATTATAGTACTATATTAAAATGTATCTATCGAATCTGCGACATTTCACTCAACAATCAATGGATCATTTGATCAGCCACTCACCCTAAAACTCAGCTCATTCGGCCCAATTTTTATTATTGTTACACTAACATTGAATGCAGGTTTATTATTTGTTGATTAAACTTATGGATGAAAGAAAGTCGAAAAAACATAGACAATCGGAACTTCCTTTAAGCTACTTTTACTTCTGACCTCATTTTTTTTATGCGAAGTTTTGGCGAATAACGTGTTTGTTGTAACATAACATGTTATTTATATTTTATTACATTTAGGAGGAACCGGTTTGTTAAATAAGATATAAATATCATCTATTAGGTAAGGACTATTTTGCAATTTTCTAAATTGATTATTTCATTTACCTACTTAATGTCGTAACATACTTCCTTAGTCAAGTATTCCGTTTTATGATCAATTTAATTCTATTTTTAAGCTGTTAAGCAAATTGTTTGCGTGATTTATGCACTAGGATACAAATCAATAACTCTGTGATGAAATTCAATTTGTATGTATTTATAATTTGGAATACTTTAATAATGTATCGAGACTAAATATGAGTAATTGTTGTTTTAAAGTCTGATTTGTATTTTATTATTGTATGCCTCAACGGCGGGACATTTAAGACCTGTATTTATGAAGTCTGATTTGTATTTTATTATTGTATGCCTCAACGGCGAGACATTTAAGACCTGTATTTATGAAGTCTGATTTGTATTTTATTATTGTATGCCTCAACGGCGGGACATTTAAGACCTGTATTTATGATGCATACTTATAGTCCACAATAAAGACGATTTGATTTAATTTATGTTACTGCCTTACTTGTACTAGTGTATAATAAAAAGGCATTTAATGGCTACGGCCGATGAACCTTATGTAGTGTCGCTAATCGATCGGGAGCGCTTCGAATCGCAAGTACAATCGCGTGCGCGCTGCATTTTTATTTCTGATGCAATTGCCTTGGGTGCAATTGAGGTTTTTAAAGTATTCTGTCTATGCGAAGTCAAGCCGAGTTACTAGTTATTAATTATACCTCTAGTTCGTAGTTAATTTGTAAGATAGGTTCCTTACGTAAAAAAATGCTAAATGAATATTCAAATAAAAAAACTACGTTCTACGTTATGCACATACAAGGAAATCATACAAAATAGATAAATCTTTCAATAATAATCTCGTGTCTGCTTGTGATAAACTTTGAAGCTACAATACGTTTTTTCTTTATTCGTGGCTATAATATAAAATTTATATGTTGCATAGCATGAAGACTTAAAACCAATGGTGAAGCTCCGTACACCACGTTATGTAGTATAGATGTTTTATCTCACGAGTGCGGGTGCGCTATACTTGTGTGGGTAAGGTAAATGTATTGTCTTTGTTTGCGTACGCTCGGGAACACCCTAGTTAGGCCGGCATGCCAATGAATGAGCTTGCTGCGAGTTACGCACACAAGCGCGCGTCTCTATACACATATACACTATATACACACTACAACTACAACTATAACTCACCCGCGCTCGTAAGATAATAGAACTTTACGTGGCTAGTTTAATAAAATTATGTTCCAATTTTTTTTTAACAGACTGACAGCCACAACCTTACTGCATCAGGTGAAGATGAAGTGCAATACGTGAACATAGAAGCGATACCAACCCGCGATGATTTGGAGCGGTTCACATTCCGTATATCGACCGTAGCACTACGGGACCTGCAGCCCAGGCTGTCGCAGCCAGTGCGAGTACCAGACCATATCTCGTTGCTACCCACACTCATTGAACGATTCGTCAATGTATTCAAACATTATGTGGAACAGAACCCTGTGTATTATATTGATCAAGTAAGTGATGGTATACCTATTCTAATTTAGTAATGGATCATTTATAATATTTCGAAGCTTCTGTATATTTTATCTGTAAAGTAGAACAAGATGCCATTGGTGAGAAACTGAGATGAGTAGTTCATTATTGGTACAAATGAATAGAGCATATGTTACAAATGACAATAATTTCTCTATGGCTTTTAATCCTCATGTAAAGTCATTGACAATCAAGAAAAAAGGTATACCACTCCTCTAAGTGTTTTGATTCAGGCACTAAATATATTAAATTATTCTCTTTGTTCAGGAGCCCGAACTATGCATCGGGTGCATGCAGTACCCTGCTGACGTGAAGCTGAACCGAAGATGCGCCGCTCCACCCCCGCACCTCGAGGGAGGGCCACCACAGTGTCAACAGTGCAACTGCCGGTAAGATGTTTTGCATATTTGACCTTCTTGAGACCTTAGGACGAAACACTGTTTGAAAATACGAAACTGTTATGAGAGCTGAGACTGAACAATCGGTATAGTGTCTGCAACGCGTCGCCGATCTGGCACAGTAATATAAATCTTCCTTAACTAATTCTATAACAATAAGTACTAATAATCCGCTGAATTTGGTTACAACTCAGAGCCGAAATGAACGTGGTTGAGAAAAGGTGTATAGAGGAATGTGTGTCTGTTAGCGTGCTGTGGTGCTGCTCGTGCATGGGCCGCTGGTGGGCGGCGCGCGCGGCGGGCCCGCCGGCCGGCTGGCTGGCGGGCCGCGCCAGCTGCCCCGTCTGCCGCGCGCCCTTCTGTCTGCTGGACGTGTGCCCGGCGCGCGCCCCGGCCGCGTCCTGAGGCGCGCGCCCCGCCCTGCTCCTCATCACGCTCAGCCGCTAGAGGACTACGGGGCGGGTCTGTCACTCCCAGTTGTCTCTATACTTACTCAGGTGCAACATGTCTCCTCTCTTTTATTGACGATTTGACGCGATTGTATACTTCTTAGCGAAAATGTATTTGGTTCTGTTTTCTTTACAGCTATGAATTTTATCAGCTCAGTCATGAAATTTTATTGTCTAACACAATGTGTTAAATTCCTTATCGTGTTATCTATGTTTTAAGTTGCTTTCAATGTCTAGAATTCCAAATCAATCAATCAATGTGTGTGATTCAATTTTGACTATAATTTACATCTTCAATGTGGAGATGGTATTTTGTTAAATAATGGTTTGTTTGACCATTGTGTTAATTTTATCATAATAATAGTTGTGTAATATTTATTGCTGCGCAAGGAGGCTCTGCTTGAAGATTATAATTGATGTGATGAAATACTTTTTATTATACCTAAATCGATGTCTATATTATATAGTTGTAAACTTTAACTTATATTGAATATTGTCCATGTAAATGTTAGATTTATATTCAAAAGTAGACTTGGACGTTTCTGTAACTGGTCTTTTATTGAAAAAAAAAATATAATAGTCAATTAGAATCCACTAAATAAAATGATTCTTGATATCGTCATCACAGATGCCTACCCCGTCCAAGCTTACTTGATAATAATAATTACCTGGATATCTTATTTTTAATAAACTGACATAATAATGTTTAATACACAATTTTAAACTAGGAATTAATAAAAAATAATGTGTTAATTCATAATATTCAATGTGAAGACATTTTAATCGTCTTGATGTGAAAAATCTACTAAAATATAATTTTAAAAGATTTACGCGTCACTTTCATACTATGTAGTTAAGCAAATTGCGACTATATGTGTCTTTTATTATACATGTATTTTGAATATCAAATCAAATATATCATTTTTGTTGGAAATTTATATAATGTAAGATTAATTAATTAAAGGGGGCTATCGTACTTGAACTAATGCTTTTGAAGATAAAGTCCTAAGGCATTTTTGCCGTAAGTGGTTGACGTAAATCGACAGAGGCTCCATCTAGTGACTGCAAATACGATAGCTCTACTAGTAATGAAATTATATTAAAAATATAAATGTCTATTTATATTTAAATGATCTGGAATGCTAATAAATGTATACAATTTTATTATTTTTTATTAATGGCGGTGTTGCACAAGATTGCAATGGTACGGCAGAGTAGAATAAATTTCCCACGGCCCTTTTTGTTTTTTTTATATATATTTTATAGGCCGACGTTTGACCATTTTGGCGCCTGATGAGAAGCGGCAATGATGATGCGGCCTACGATGAAGCACGTCGACCCATAAGCAACCTTTTCACTGGGGTCTTGAAGACCCTTCAGGAAATACAGGTGGTAAAAGTCTAAGGGTTTATTACAGGCAGCAATTCTGATAAATGGAATCTTAAAGTGCAATCTCAAACCAGTCTGCGAAGGATGGAGATTAAAACATAACAAACCTCGCTTTTGTTGACAAGGCCTAATAGCACAGAATAACTGCCATAGTCCAGCAGTACAGAGGCCTTAGTACGAGTTTCTTTTTCGTTTAAAGTACGAGTACGCGTTCGGCGCTGTAATTGGCCGGCTTTAATAAACCAACCAATCAGAGCACAGAACGCCGTCTCGTCTGGTTTCTTTAAACGAAAAAAAAATCGTACTAAGGCCTCTGTAGTCACTAGCTGTTTGTATGTGTTGTATAAAGTTAGAAACGTTGCTAACATATAGAAGCTAATTAAGATCGCTATCCATTGAATCACGTGGAACTTACGTCCTTGACCTTTCCCGAAGGACAAAACTACACGTGTTGTAAATTACCTGGTTGTTAGCTCTGCGTGACATTTGACGCCATTTCTAATGTGGGTGGATTCCACTATAGACATAAAAATAAATTATTTCGATTGTTCAATACAATTAAATAAAACAAAATATTCACACTTTCATTAATAAGTTTTATAATCAACTTAATTTTAGTATTTTTTCAGCATATTTTTAAGAAATTAGTATGATCTTTGAAGCTAAAAAACGCGACGTCACAGTACACAATCGCGTACAAAATTCATAGAAAACTGTCGTTTTTGACAGTTCGAAAAAGTATTGAATTAAATGCAATACTGGATTCTTCTATTTTGGAAGTCCTAGTAGGTAGTTTGACTCTGAAATTATGTGCAGTAGGTATGTAGGGTAGTCAAAGTCTATACATACCTATGTAGATACTGTAATAACATCTCATTTAAAACTTTGTATAAATATTATCAAGGACAAGTATTTAATAATAACGCTGTAATTAGTAAAACAACCTTGAGCCTACACTTGACCATCAAAAACTAATTAATCTGAATATATTATTAACATTTTTAGTACACTGTTTAAGGGTAGATACATAATTATAGGGTTTGCACCCTGTGTACTACAATTGACCGTTAATTTGTCAGCCATTGATAGGTATAATCTATGTGACAAGGTGAACAGTTAAACGCCGCCATTAGGTGGGTACTGCAGCCCGTCAAATGGTGGTCACTGGTTACTTTAGTCGAAGAGTATAATAAGTATAGGGTTCTAGTGCAGTTTGTCAGAAGAGAATTTTCGTTGTTATTTGTATATGTACTGTTCTGGTGTACAATACAATTCTGGAATATTCACCTCGATAAAAGATAAATAGCAGCCGTAAAATTGGTTCTGATTGATTCATCGAGGAAATTATTGTTTTCTCTTTCATCATGAAACAATCTAAAGTGAGCAAAGCGATCCAGCAATATTTCAAGAACACAACACTGCACGGTTTCAAATATTTGAGCTCCGTGCATTATGTTGATCGGTAAGTAGGATTTTTTATTTGTTGAATTTTGCTATTTATTCCAATCTTGCGTAAATGATAATAGGTATCTGTATGTGTCTGTTTTAATTTCGGTTCTTTTGTGCCTATGTAAGCTCCTATAAGCAGAGGATTAAATTACGGATTAAATCTAAAGAGCGCCTAGGCAAGCACCTTATAGGCGCCCCTTTATTTTTATTTGGCGCCATCGTCACACTATATGCAGTTGGCAGTGCGTCTCGGTGCGACCCTTTGTGACTTAGCGCCCCAGACACATGCCTTATTTGCCCTACGGATAATACGTCTCTGCATAGGAGTAAGGTAGCTTTGCACCTTGAAGCCCGGACTTAATTTTGCATTACAAGATGAGCCACGACTGCGTGGTAGTCAGGTCCTTAACGAGCGTGTATGGCAGCGTGGTGTGGGTGGTGTGGTGCTGCGCGAGCGCGTGGTGCGCGGGCAGCCTGTGCGTGGTGCTGTGGCGGCGGTACCTGCAGGTGCCGGCGCTGCTCGTGCTCTGCGACGACGACGCGCGCACGCTCTCATACTCGCGCTATGGCGTGCCCACCGTCGCCGCCTGTCTACCACCCGATGTCGTCGCTGATATGTTCCTGCATAGACTGTAAGGGTTACCTGCTTTTTGATTTGATCCCATAATTACACTTGCACAATTTCCTTTAGAAACAACTACTATTATGAATTCACCGTATCTGCATGCTCTCTCAATTTATCAGTACCTACCTAAAATCATGTAGCATAATTTTTCCCAGGTCATCAAACTCGACGTTAACAGAACAGATACCCTCATCGTTAGCACGGGTTCTAGCTGGAAAACCAACGTTAACAGATCAACTAGAATTGTTTGATGATCTCCTGGCTTCAAATAATACGACTCTAGCACATATGATGATGAACCATGCTCCCAATTGTGATGAGGAGGCGATCATAAAGTGCAGGTATCAGAAGAGAATGGTGCCGTGCCAACAACTGTTTGAGAAGACGCTCACTTACTGGGGAGTGTGCTGTGTCATGAGGCCTGAGAAGTAAATAGTTGATTTATTTATTAATTGAGCAGCATGCGCGGTCGCAGTGAGCTACGCGACGTCGCCGCGACCGCGCACGCTGCTCATGAGAAAAAACCCCTCTGTGGTTCGAAACTAGTAGAGCTTTTCTCAGTATATTCACGTGAGTAACCCGCGTTTTTACTTAATTTAGTATGTCTCACGATTAATTTATTTATTAAAAATTAGACATACGTCTGCAAATAGGTTTCCGCTATTTCGTGTTAGTTTTATTTCGCACCGGTTTTCTGTGAGGCCGTGATAATCACTTCAGGCGAGCTGATTAGGTACGTAGTGTATAGGTAGGTATTATATCAATGTATGTATGTATTCCAGATTACTCCCAAAGTTCAACACTGGGCTGGTGAGCAGGTCTCACACGATGCAGTCCTTGGAGTTGGTGCTGCAGTGCAAGCGTGGCCCTTTTCCATCTGTTTGCCAGGTAAGATTTATTTCATTCATTCTGTTTCATGTCACACGATATGCTCAAATATTGCCTGAGAAAGTTTTTAAACGACAGTTTAAGAATATTGCAGCCCATATTTCTCTTGTCAGAGAGTCTTTAAATTCTTTAATTTTTCGGTAACTTGGCTGTAATCCCAAGTTATTTGCTTACAATGGGGCTCAATAGAAAGAAGACGGAAGCATTGTTGAGTAGCAGACGTGGTCAAGTTGATGGGAGGATCATTATCAAGACCACTAGCTACTTAGATTTAGCAATCCTAACCGAATGAATCCGAAACGAAAACGCCTTATTACCATTGCAGTTTCTAACGTATTACAAAGGCGAGGAGTGGGTGCAGCCTAATATCCTGCACCCCAGCAACTACTACATGGGGCACCTGGTGTTCACACTCATACCTGACGAGTCGACCAGCCTCGTGGAGACCGTCTGTTCGCATGACCCAAACTACTCTCGAACTCATTGTATGGTACGTCTAAGTATGTGGGTGCCTTATATGGCTAAACAATAAATACTCTAATATGAATCCCATAGATAGCATATTATGTAGTTTTATTATTTCACACTTTATACTTGTGGCGTCTCAGTTGTCGCGGCCGACCGTGGGTGGCGCTGATTGCATACCACCAAGTGACCCCTCTTCTCGTTTGCCCCCCCCATTCCACAAAAAGGACACTGTTTTAATTTTTCTAGTTTACCTCAGTTTTTTAACTTACAAACTATAATTTGTGTTATGTATTTTTTTGCAGCGGAAATGTGCAGAGAAATCCTGTGGGTGTCGCGATCCTCTGTTTAAACATGTAAAGAGTGACTCAGAGTTACCTGTTTGTAGCACCGCGCGCCTCATCTGCTTGAGATCACATGACCTTAAGCAACATGGTTAGTAGGTACCTGCCTATTTTATATTTTTAAAGGAATCTGGTCAAGTCTAACGTGTTTACCATTGTCAAGATATTGGGCAAAATAATAATTTCTTTAATTAAAAGTACCTACCCTTAACCGACGAGCATAGATGAAAGACTGATGACTGTTGATGAAGCCTAGGTAAGAATCGTAGCATTTGGCGTTCCATAGTCTCATTCTACCCTCATAGGAGACAGGCGTGAACGTATGTATGTAATAATTTATTGGGGAAAATGTAAATTAAGATTTTTTATTTTAGAAAACATATCCTGCAGCTGTCTCCCACCTTGTAGGAAGATTACCACTACAATGGTACTAGAATCGAATCCAATGAACCAGATCAACAATACTATCGATAATTTATTGTAAGTAGCATATTTATTTTACATTATTATTCTAATATTTGGAATGTTGTAAGTCCTTAAGGATTTAACAGCGTACGTACTTCGCTTATGAATATTATTATGTTTTACGGTACATTCACGTAACACGACTGGTTTGATAATGCAGCAAACTAGTGCTCGACATTTATCGTGTCGTCGCTAATGGCTATGAGCCCCGGGTGTGGCTTGAAATAAGTTGAATCAAAAAGTTCCGTGAGTTAGCCTCGTAACTGAACAGAGATACATTTAATGGTGTCTTAGTAATTATTTTAATGATTTGATTTATTTATTAGAATTAACCCTTTCTAATTGAATTCCTTTCAGCTCTGGAATCGATGTAGCGCGGTCTGTAGTGATGAACTTAAGAGTAAATCTGCACCATTCGCAAGTATTTCTACTGAACCCCACTGAAACATGGGTCACTTTATTATGTACGTACTATTTAGGTATTAGGTATAAGCTTTATCGATAGATGATAGATCACCCTTCATCGTGGCGGCCCGGAGGTTAAGACGCCCGCTTCTCATACATCTTCATTTCTAATTATAGGTTTTAAATCGCACCCGTAATGAGCAAGGGTGGTGATTAATCATTAAACCTTCTCCGTGTGAGAAGAGGTTTTGCTCACCAGTGGCCACTTATAGGCTGTTGATGAATAAGACTTATCAAAATATCTATTTACTTTAGTCTTTAAATGATTCGTCGTTAGACCTGCTTTCCCTATATTACTGAGACTACTGAGTCTTACTTCATCATGAGTGCCACCGATTATTTTCAAAGAAGCGCACATAGGTATCTACTTCTATTTAAAAAAACCTCTTTTTCGGGGTACAAGGTGGGTAAAAGTCTACATGGATTTTGCACATTTTCTTCATTTTTTGCTACGCATAGTGCTCTGAGGGTCTACCCTTAATGCATTTTTTTATTAAGGGGGGAAAATCATCGAATGACTGCCCCCGCCTGGGTGAGGCGGGAGGGAGTGTCAGACTCTTACTGACTAAAAACCACCCCGTTCCTTCTCCTGCACGTCGAGCCGGAGCCCCGGTTACCCGTTAGGTTCTCCGCGACTCCGAATCGGCATCGGCCCTATTGGGCCCCATCTGTGGTGGTCTGATGGCTCTTTGAGGCGCGCGCGGAACGCGACGCGCCGTACGCTCGGGTCTGTTTCTGGTCGGACGGGGAGCCACCCATGCTCGCCGTCCGCAGGCCCGCGCTTACGGTGGCCGGAGATCGTCCCGCGATCCCCGACGCCCGGTGTGTCCTTCGCGATGGCTGGGTTGCGAGGAGGCAGCGCTTCGCTGCCTCACGCGTCCCGCCTCCTCCTTAGCTAGCATGACTGCTTCGCAAAAGGAGGAGACGGCATCCCAATCCCCCTCGCTCCGCATCATGGCCTGCACTAGGCCCGGACGCGAGAGGTCGCCATCGCCGATCACTTCCCTGAGGACACGGCGGTGCTCAGCCCACGAAGGGCATTCTCCCACCGTGTGTTCCACCGTGTCCTCAGGGCGGTCCTCGCAGTGATGACACCCGGGCGTTTCCTCCCGCCCCATCAGACACAGGTACCTCCCGAAACTTCCATGTCCGGTGAGGACCTGCGTCAGGCGGTAGGTGAGGACGCCGTAGCGTCTCTCAAGCCACTCCTCAAAGAGGGGACTTACCGCTGCGATGGCAGCGAGCCCACCCCTTAATGCATAGGGCATTAAGGGTAGACCCTCAGAGCACTTTTAGAAGGATCTTTTATAAGAACCTTCATAGATGAAGGTCAATTAAAAATAACATCATCATCGCGCATATTATCCCCGGAGGGTCAGGCAGAGGTGCACATTACGGCACTTAATGCCACTGTAGGTACAACGTAACACCCAGTTTTCACTATTTATACTACCAAGCATACTCATAATTAAAATAGATGTGTGTGTGCAGTAATTTTCACGTGTTTGTCTATTATTTTAATTATTTTCAGCATCCTTAGGAGGGGTATTCAACATGTTCCTGGGTGTCGGATTGTTTAGTGCTTTGGAGTTGATATATTTTCTTATGATAAAGTTACCAGTAGCAATAAGGAAGTCTTCTGAAGTTGATCATACAAATAAGTACACTACGCCAGTTACTTTAAGGTAAATTATTGGATACCAGCCCCTGAATTACTTAGGTCACAATGAATATTTGTGGTCTGAGAAAATTAGAAAGGATGAGTAATGACGTGAAATGGAATATTATTGGAATAAAATAAATATGTTCTCAAAATTGTGTATTTTTATTAGCTATACACTTGTTCCTCTGCAGCTCCAGCTCTACACTTTATATCTATTACTGATGATATAGTTTTGTATTTGCATATTATTATATTTGTGATGTTTTCACAAATGTACATAGTTTGCAAAACAGAGTTTGATTGAGCAACTCAATCAGTTTTGATAGTTGTTTTTTTTATATCAAGTATAAAAAGAGGAGATACTATATTCGGATGATTGCTTATTCGTGGGATATGGTCTGAAGTAAATGATTCTAACAAAATCAATATTAGTCACTGCTTCAAACTCTTTTTTACCAAGCTGTTCTAAGTCCTTTTACATTGATAATATTTTATTTAATTCTTTAAAGTATTACTCAACCATACTCTGTTAGGTTTATACTCAAAGTAGGTAGGTAATCCTAATTAATAAAAATATTTGTTGAAAGATAAATGTGAGTGATATGTTGTTAGCATTCAAACAATAGATTCTTCATAATTGGATGTTTCAAGTAAAGGTGGGATAAGCCGCTAGTAAATTATGGTAAAAGAAAAGCAATAAACTTAATTAAAACATATACTTAAAGTAAAACTTATTCTAATAACATTATATATCTTATAGTACAGGTTCGGGTTGTTGTGTCAATAGGAGGCCAAATCTCTTCTTTATGATTATCCTCTGCCTGGAGTACTTGTCTTCAGGAGAAAAGCGTGCTGAAACAAAGACACCTTGTTATTAAAAATGTTTATTAGTCTCCATAGAACAAGGACTCTGCATCATTGGAACAGTTTTCTATTATAATACATTTGAATACAAAAAGTCTACAAATCTGTACTAAAGTAAACAAATCATTCCAATGAATGGATTCCAAAACTACCAGATCAATTTAGAAATAAAGTTCACATAACATGTGTTCATGTGGGATACATGACGAGAATCTCGTAAAAGCAGAAAAAGATAAAGCAAGTAAATATCATGATTTAACTCTCATGCACATGTCTCTCATGACGATGCACGAATTGGAAATTGCCGTAGAAGAGGAACGGGATATGATCCCTCAAAATAATCGTATGAGAGCTGTGGTACTGGTAGATGCCCATGGAGGCAACACGCGTTATTAAATTAATACTTTATTTGATAAATCATGTTTTTTATTAAAAAATCTATTGCCTTTAACAAGGCGCATATCCGATTTGTTAAGCGTAGCTCCATGTCGTATGGTTGAATTCAAATTTAAAACAATACGATCGAAAAAGATGGTAAAATGAATCAGGTTTAAAACTGCATCAACAGTTTTCGTTCAATTTAGCAATCATATTTCGGTAGGGGCCATTGAAACCTAAACTCTAAATGGGCCAATAGATGTGTCCAGAAGTGTATATAAAGTGTATATAAAATCTGATGTTAGAGGGCATGATAGTGCTTGACTATGTATGTTTATCATAGGACTATATACTATATTTTTTTAAACTTATAGAGTACAAACAAACTAAATCTAGCTTTTTAAACGGTGCATCTGTTTATAATGAAACTTTGTTGTAATGAACACAAGTAATCTTTTTGGATTAAACTATTGGCTAAAGTACTGTAGTATGGATGTAAAACTACAACACTGTAGGTATATTTAATTAGAACTACATAGTTATATTTACCTGGATGAGCTGATATCGTCGGCTTGCCATGAGGATCAATCGTCTGAAAAAAAAAGCCACGAAATAAAAAATATACCACGAGTAATATATCATTTATCATACAAAATTTCGCTTAAAATATAACTGTTGTTTTGTATATTATTTTTAGTATCTATGCTAAGAGTTGCAATAAAATTTTTATTTGAATTTATTGCAAATCTTATGGCTAAATTAAGTAAATGTGGTATTTTGTAAACAAACACGTGAGTTAAATAGGTTATATAGATAATGTGATTTCTGAAATTACCGATAGTGTGTACTGCCTTTCGCCCTTCTCGTTTAAATAATATCGGAGATACATGATGGTTTCCCTGTTTTCACAAAATCAACAATAATGAACAATATAATTAATATTTGTGATAAATTCTTCTCGGTAACGTAACACAAACACAAGCGATGCGTCTCCTCAGTAGTCGGGATGTGGTTGACGTTGACAATTGACATGAAATTGACAATGACATGACATTTTGCTTTTAATTTTTTTACTGCTTGTCAATGGCATCGACGCTTTGCCGTAGTTGAACACTAGTCTTTTTAGTAATTAAATATAAAAAATGAAACACAAGTTACAGTTACACAAACACAAATGAAGTGGCGAGGGGCCGTACCTGCCATGCCGGTTTGAACCGCGCTTGCTACTCATTTTAATACTATGATTTGTTACGTGTATACGCAGTTAAAAACTGCTTAGGTATAGCGTTACGTCAACGAAATAGGACACCAGGGTGGGTTTTAGTCAGTAGTTGTGTGACAGTCTCTTTCGTCCTCCTCAGGCGAGGGGGCTCCGTGAGAATTTCTCATATTGGAATAAAATAGGTAATAATATTTTGTGAACTCCAGATCCCAAGGTCTGGCCATTCAAATACAGTATAGGTATAACCAACCCAAAACCAAGATGTATTGGAATTTTATTCTAAGCAATCCTTTCAAACAACAAGAGATAACCCTACTCTCAGTCCTCTCCTTTTTTATCTCGTCTAAGCGCCGACTCGATGGAATATTTTCGATATTAAATGTAAAATGTATGGATAACATTTGTCAGTGTCACTTGTTTTGTTAGTCGTCATTTGACAGCTGACATAGTTGGACAGTCTCATAATCTCATTTCTATTTTCTTGATGTCAACTGTCAAGAACACGTGCACAGTACCTGTTATTCAGTTATTCTGTACCTCCAACAAACGAAATAACGGATTTTGTTTAATTAATTAAGCAAGAGACTGCTTATAGACCATGTCTTCGTGGAAGAAGGCCGCTAAGGCTAACCAGAAGACTCACAAGGAGCGTCATCAGCCAGAATCTAGAAAACATTTAGGTTTACTTGAGAAGAAGAAAGATTATAAGAAACGAGCTGATGATTACCATGAAAAGGGCGAAACTCTTAAACTTTTAAGGAAAAGGACATTAGACAAAAATCCTGATGAGTTCTACTTTCATATGATCAATTCTAGAGTGAAAAATGGGGTGAGTAAAAATTGTGTAATATTTTTTAGTATTATAAATAAATGAAGTTTACAAAGTTTATAAAAGTACATTCCTCTATAAAGTAGAATATCTATTATCTACCTTCTACTCTAGACGATATTGGAAGTTTTATTTTGTAAACATAAGTGTGTTCTAGGATTGAATGTGTAAGGTACAATATAATGTAAACATGATCTATATCAAACCTAAAATTTATATCTTTGATGTTATTTTTGAATCCTCTATTAAAGTATTTATTATTTTATCTGTATAGGAGCATCATGAAGTTGAGAAAGAAGATGAGCACAGCAAAGAGCAGGTGAAGTTGATGCAGACTCAGGATCTCAAGTACATCAATATGAAGAGAACCATTGAGAGCCGCAGGATTAACAGGCTACAGGTACATAGTTACATACATAGTACTTCTTTTTTATTAGACAATTACTTTCAATAGAAATTTAATTTCCTAGTTATGTTGGTATCTATTAATGCCAAATAATTATTGCATTCCTCTCATTAATATTGTATCCTTATAAGTTATGTCAGATATAAAAAGTAGAAAGTTTCTAAAGGCAAAGTCACAGGCATTTATTTAAATTAACTTGTACACAATCATCTGATATAAATTCCTAAAATTTGTTGATACAAAAGTAGTCTCTATACGTTGGAAATAAGGTCTATAACGAAGTTAGTGGAGACTGGTGACCTGTGACCGGTGACCCCTTGGGGATTGAACAGTTCATAATTCGGTACTTTTAAAACATCAGCAAATTTAAAATAAAATAATAGTCTGTCAGTGAAGCTAGGTGCTCGTTCCAAGATGTAGATTCTATCAGCTTTAATAAAAATAACAGAAGTTAGCCTTTTTTCTACCAATTACAATTCTAGTCTAGGCTGTAAAATAAACAGAAAATGATGAATTACTTAGAATCAATAAATATTGATCTTAAATTTTGCCTTATACTCACTGTTTTAAACTTGGTACCCTAAATAATTCAAAGTTCTGTTCACCAGGCTCAGCTTCACATGTCAGATGTAGCAGAAGTGACTCCAAACACACACACATTCTTTGTAGAAGAGGGAGAAGAGAAGAAGTTTGACCTTGCAAAGAGACTGGACACACATCCTGCTCTATTGGGCAGGAAATCTAATAGGCCTCGGCTGTCTGACTTGGATAAAATTACTCTGCCGGATATTAGTGATGAGGTAAGATTTTTATTTTGTAACAAGTAATAATTCTACTGATTCCCATTTTTTTATACAGTAGTGGCAAAAGCACACTACCCATCTGATTACAATTGGTTACAGTGGCTTATGAATGCCTGCAACATTAAACTGTCAAACACCAAGCGGTCACCGGTGACCGCAACCTATTGTTCTATAATTGTGTCTACAAAACCGGTGCTCGACGAGTTAATAAACCTCTTTACTCCTTTTTTGAAGAACGCCATATTGTAGCACACCAGGAAAACCTCCCCATATACTGAATGTTTGCATATTCAATGTAAACAGTAATAGTAGATGCATACTATTAAACCTAGTATTCATTCACCTCACAAAATAGTTGGCACATATTGTTATGTTGGTGGATTGATAATTAACCCTTTGAGTACCGTCATTATAGACACAATTAAAGAACAATAGGTTGCAGTCACCGGTGTCCTCGCAGTGTTTGACAGTTTAATTATAGTCTGGTTTATTTTACTTGGATTTATTATAATAATGGGCAGAGCGCACAATGTCTACACACACCAGAGTATCCCTTTCCAACCGAGTTAGAATGAACGTGAGTTTCGACTTTACAAAATTCTAGGTAAATATGTAAACAACTTTAGCGGACGCAACCGGCATCGATCTATCGTGACACTATCTAAGAATGAAACAAAAAATAGTTTTGCACTTTGCGCACACGTTTCGTCCTACCAGTTCGTTGAAACCCGCATGAGGGATGGCTGCGTCTTTTAATCCCGGCGCCTCTGCACGTAAGTAGATATATTTTTAGTAATTGTATTGTATTATTAATATTTATTCGTTGTTTTTCAATAAAATACGAGTTTATCTAGATATAATCATCAAGTTTTTGTAAAGCAACGTATTAGTTTTGTAATAATTTATCGTCAAAATTAAACACGCACGATCATGCAACATCGGTCGTACGACGTGATATTATAACATTTCGATGTTTTGTGTTTTATTTGTTATTTTGATTCCATTTAGTATTAAAATTGTATTTTCTTTTGTATTAGGGGCTCGAATTACGGATGATGCAATATTTGAACAATTGATGGATGGAAATCTATCGGAGATTGAAGATTTTAGCGACAATGACTTGGATTTTGAACTAAATAATCTGTTTGATCAATTGGATTGCGAAGATCTCTGCGATGGTGATATTCCTAATGAAGATGAAGAAATCAGTCATCAATTATCACCATTGATATGTTCACGTGTGATACAGCCTCCGTCTACATCGATGCCGCAACCTTCTGCTTCAATGACGCAACATCCTTCTCCAACAACGACTCAATCTCAAGCAGCAGTACAAGCAGTGAGATCGCGAAGCTTATTGCAATACAAATTATCATGGGATGTGTTCCTTATCCTCGACTGCCTATGTATTGGAGGGTTGGTACTAGGTTGGAAATTATCGGCGGTTTAATGTCACGGGACAGGTTTTTTACCCTTCGTAATGCACTACACGTAGTTGATTCAGATTCACCACCTCCAACTGAAATTGTTAATCCACTATGGAAGGTTCAACCCATGATCGATCAAATTAAACGTGCGTGTAATAAATTAGAAAGGGTGCCGGGATTCTACTCTATTGATGAGCAGATGATACCATTTACAGGCCGCTGTCAACTACGTCAGGTAGTGAAAAACAAACCTAGGCCTGTAGGGTTTAAAAACTTCGTCCTCACGACTAGTGAGGGATTGATGTTGGATTTCGACATATACAGAGGTGCAAGGACGATGTTTGGTGATACGAATCTTGGCCTTGGTCCTTCGGTAATCCTACATTTATCTAAAAGTATTCCTCCTGGTAGCTGTGTGAATCACGATAGATATTTCACCACAGTACCTTTAATTGAAGAAATGAACAAGTTAAATCTGCATTCTACCGGGACAATAATGTTAAATCGTATCCCTGACCGAGCTACAATAAAATTTAAAACGGACGTTCAAATGACTCGTGGAGAAAGCCAACAATTTGTTTGTGAACCTACTACAATCGTAAAGTGGAAAGATAATAAATCCGTGTTACTCGCATCAAACTGTACTGGGTCCGGTGCAACTACTCTCGTAAAAAGGTGGGATAAAGCTATGAAACGGTACGTCGACGTAACTGCTCCAAATATAGTAAGAAATTATAACCAACACATGGGAGGAGTAGATGTACTGGATCAACAAATGGAGTATTATCGAACATTTATTTAAACCAAAAAATGGACCCTAAAATTATTGACGCATTTTTTTGACCTCGCGCTGGTAAACTCTTGGAGGCTGTATAGAATCGACTGCAACAGTAATAATTATGCAAGGAAAGACACTAAGCCTTTACTGGATTTTCGCTTGAATGTGGCGGATGCTTTATCTTCTACACCAAGTAGAGCTCGAAGGCATAGTGAAGATGAAGATGAAGATCAGTCTGCAGCTCCGCGTCGAAAATATAAAATATATAGACCAGCCAACAGACCGTCGGCAGAGAAACGATATGATGGATATGAGCATTTTCCAACCAGCGACGACATAAAAGCGCCAAGGACCTGTAGGTTGGAAACTTGCAGCAGTCGTTCAAAAATTAGGTGTGAATAATGCGACGTCTATTTATGTTTATCTCGTGATAAAAATTGTTTTAAAGTATATCATTTGTGTACACAATAATTATGTTGATCTCATTGATTATAGTGACTAAAAATTAAGATTTTGTTGATTATGTAGAGGTAGAAGTAATATACATAGTTTATTTTTGTTGTAATTTAATAAATTAAGAAGATCTCATTTATAACACGTGATTTTATAAATACTCATACTGTTTATTTTGTAATAAAGACTGATTAAAGTTATTAGAAAACTGAAATATCCATGTTTTATTTTAATTGATAATATTTATTTCATTAATTCGTGTTTAATAATTGATTAATTACATATACTCACGATCGTGCGACTTGCAAATTATTCCTGAACCTCACGTATGTGAGGGTCTGATTGCTGAAGACCACCTTGCAAGAGATTTTTTTCAGTATTTTTTCCAGGGTCTCTGAACACTTTGCAAACTATGACTAAGTTTTTACTGATCTATGTGAATTTTTTTATCCCCGGTTGCAAAGGGGTATGACAGACAGACAGCGACATTATTGACAAGTATCCTACCTTATATAATACATTATAGTGAGGGTGCCACTACTTACTAAAATAGTTATGTTAATACATACATGTAACACATACTATTCCTTCATCCCTCAAAACAGTTTAGAACAGAGATAGACTCAGAGAGAGATATAACGGAATCCTGACAAAAGTTTTCATCTGAATTCGAACAGTAAAAGTTTCAGTGTTTCCTTAAACCTTGAATTCTTATATCATAAAAGAAATACTTTTACCAAACACACATTTTTAACCATTACCATCTAACCATTTCAGACCCTAGAATCAATGAAGAAGAAAAAACAGAAGATTTACAGTGAGCTATCAAAGAGGATAGAGAGGGAGAAGGAGTTGACAGTAATACAGCAGAAGATGGAGTTGAAGCGTCATCTACAGGATGTTAAGATTATGAAACCGAGGAGGTTAAAACCTGGTACTAAGAGTACAGCCCCAGTGTATCAGTTCCAGTATATGAGGAAGAAGTGACATAGTGAAGTGTGTTCTAGGATTGAATGTGTAAGGTATAATATTCTTCTGCACTTTGAAATGCATACAGAAACTCTAAATAAAAGTTATGATCATCAAAACAATGTGTATTTAAAGAAATAAAGTGAAGGTCCTGTTACATCTATATATATAAAAATGAAACCCGTTTCCCGTTGTCACGCCATAATATGAGAACGGCTAGACTGATTTGGCTTTTTATTTTTTTGATGTGTATGTTATTGTCGAAAGAAGGTTCTTATGACAGAAAAAAATCCTGAAATTCCTACGGGAACGGTAGAAAACGGGATTGCGCGTACGAAATCGGTACGAAAAAGCTAGTATGCTCTAAAATAGTATACTAGAAAGCGTTCTATTACGCATGCTTAAAAATATTCAAAAATCGAACGCCTGTCGATTCGTAAGCATGCCTGCAATGAACATTCTAATTTTAAGCAACATTTCGACACATGTCATGTTACTAAGTGACAAGAACTCAACCCAATAGTACCTTGAAAACGTTGATTGTTAAATTATGTAAGGTTGTATTGAAAAATACTACTAAACGAAAAATAAAAAACTTGAAATAATATCGAATTCTTTTTAATTTGTTCATAATAAATAATTTTTGTTCACTATGTTAATAGATGCACTCCAGTTATTGCGCGATATAATGATATTAGTTACAAATTCAAAATGGTCACTGAATTAAATAATATCATTTGGAAATTATTATTGGTTGAACTTAAAATATATTTTAACTTCACAATATGAAACTAAAATATTTTTTAAGTTGATTAAGAAATGTATTAATGGTTCTTAAAGCTAAAAACTTAAAGAAACACATAACTTAAACCTAATTACAATACTTATTTTAGAATTAATTTATCTATGGGTAACGTTAATTGATAGTCAACAACTTCACTGTTCGAATTATTTCTCATTCAATAAGTAAAAGTTCAGCTATTTCTTAACACAATACTTACAAGCAATATAGAAGTCACATTTCTTTATAATAGTTCTTAACAAATTAATCAACCTCTTTTTTAGATACAGAATGTTTGTCTATATGTTCACGAACTCACTTTGAATAAAGAAAACATTCCATATTTGAAATAGGTCCACATTATTTTGTTTTCTACCAGTCCGTACAAAATCAATCAGTATTCAAGTCACAAGTTCATCACACAATAACACAGCACAATCAAGTTTTAACAAAATAAATGACTACTTAACTTATTATATAAAGTTCCATCGCAAAATATCAAGAGTGCATCGCAGTATAAAACTTGTACGTAAACCCTAAGGCGGTAACTTTAGGTAATCTAGAAGTCTTTGGTAGTCCTATAGCTAAATCACAGTGTCACCAGAGCACGCACTTATGTTCCGGGTTCATGGGCGACCCGAGTGGACAACTCCAGGCTTCCGCAAACTCCTTGGAGTTGCTCAGGGTACCGATGACTCGGATCTTGTTCGGACTGTGGACGCCCTCCACCATTTTGGATTTTAAAGCGCCCACTGTCGAGTTGCCGCACCATATCTGTTGGAAATGTTTACAATGGTTTATTTAAAGTCCATTTTGATGTCAGATTTTGTGATATTTAGTTGTTAATATAAGACAAGTTATGAGTCCTTGTCGAAGCTCGAAATTGGTCGACCATCCTTGAGTCAGTTGCTGTTCGATCGATTTTAGGATTCCCGCCTAATAGGATATTTAATTCTAATCAAGATATTATGTAGTAGTAAAAAATAAGTAGGTACTCATACTTCCCTTAGTCATTCATTTTCTATGGAATCGTCATCTATGGAAAAGTACGAGCTGTAAAATCAATGACATTTTAATGATGGGGAGTGTTTACCTGTGCAAACCCCAGGAAGAAGAGTTGGTGCGGCTTGTAGTGCGGCAGGCCGGGCAGCGCCGCGCGGCGCTCGAGCGGCGCGCGCGCGGCCAGCAGCGAGTAGGCGCGCAGCGCGGCGCGCAGCCCGCCGTTGTCCGCGATGTTCTCGCCCTGCGTGTTGAACCCGTGCACCTGCCACACGCTCATGTAATGCTCCCGGACACTAAGGTGCGGCCAGATCTAGTTAATGCGCCGCTCGCATTCTACGGGTTTGCTACGAAGCGCGTTTCGTATAGACTGTGTTAGCATTTCGTACCTACCAGCAAACTTTTTTCCAAAAAACTCAACGTGATGTCTCTCCACCCGTGAATCCTTACTTCCTTACTAATATTATAAATGGGAAAGTGAGTTTGTTTGTTTGTTCCATTTTCACGCCGTAACTACTAAACCGATTGCTTTGAATTTTTGCAGACGTAAAGTTAGAAGTCTGGATTAAATAATGGGGTCTTTATCCCAGAAAAAATTGATATTCTCGAGGGAAAACGAAATTATTGGTATAGATGGCGCTGTGTGTATTGGTATATGTCACATAGGCTACTTTATATCCTTTAACGACGCGAGCGAAGCCGCGGGTAAAAGCTAGTAGTATACGAGACTATGCTCAGCAACAAACTCCGTCATTGGATACCGTCCTCTAGAAATAGGTAGTATTACAGTAGTACTCACGGTGTAGTTGGGTAGTTGCGGCATGTGGTACTTGCTGTACTGGTCGATGATGCACTGGACCTTGCCGTGGTAGTGCTCCAGGGTGGCCGCCGACCACCACTGCTTCAGGTTGCCCTCCTCGTCGTAGCGACGACCTGGACACCATAATAATACAGGTTTATATGAAAAATAGATACCTACCTATTTATGTATGAATGTCAATGATTTACATTGGCATACATAAGTACCTATTTTTCTTTTATTATTTAATGTTAATCTGCTATTTGCCCATAGCTTCATGTTCTGTACCTACGTCAATATAAACATAGGATCTAGATTATCTTCCACAAGAATCACTACCCTTGGTGGAAACCGCAAAGAAATTAATTCGGTAGATTTAAAGATAAGCGCTGCTTAGGCAACTTATTTAATTCGAAATGGAAGGACCATACAAGATAATGCTTTACCTTGATCGTCAAAACCGTGTGTGACCTCATGTCCCATTATGGCACCAATAGATCCGTAGTTGATCGCTCTGGAACAAATAAAATTTATTTGATAACGAACATTGAGATAAAATTCTAAAATCAATACCGATTAGTAATACTAAGACACTATCGTGGTGGCTCGGAGGTTTTGCTTCTCATGCATGAGGGTCGAAACCTACCAACGCCAAGTACCAATGTGACTTTTTCCGAGTTATATGTACTTTCTAAGATTATTCAGACACCACTGACAAACGGTGAAGGAAAAACATCGTGAGGAAACCTCGGCTTATAATTTCTAATTATAAGTTTGAAATCACCAACCCGCATTGAGCAAGCGTGGTGATTAATGCTCTAACCTTCTCCGTGTGAGAAGAGGCTTTGCTCAGTAGTGGGCATTTATAGGCTGTTGATGATGATGAATATTAAGATAGCCAATGTAAGTACTCACTCAATTCCATTTCCATAGAAGGGTGGCTGCAGAATACCGGCAGGGAATGCTGGAATAATAGTTTTTGTTCAGACAACGTACAATAAAAATATATTATTCATCACTTCAGGGGCTTACTCTTGAATTCAATTATTATTCCGAGCGATCGACATTGGTATTGTGAAATTTCGTACTCTTGAGTTTCAACACTAGCGCCCATTGCATCCATATTGCGTGGATATTTAATTAATTAAAATCGTATTGAGTTTGGTTTTATATTCCATACTCTGCATGCTATTTTAACAGCTACGATAACAAATAAATAGGTTGTATAGTTTTGACATTGAATAATTATTGAGATTATATTGGATTAAAATTGCATTGACATTGAGATTGGTTTCAAGAATAGGTAAGCATCCAGGCCTTTTTTTTACTAACGAGATAGAAAGAGGAACACAAGAATCTAATGAATTTCAACTCCCGTGATAGTGAGAATTTTGGAAAATATCAAAATACTACGATGGATAATTCTAAAGTGGGTAGGGATACTCACTGACTGAGTTCAGGGTCGCCGAATAGAATGCATTAACAGTGGTAGCAGTGGCTACCCATCTGTTCCTGTCTGGCTTCTCTCGCAACGACTCCAGCGACTTCTTCACCGCTGCAAACGTGAGCTTCAGGTACGTATCGAACAAGTTGCCCTCTACTACCTCCGCCTGGAAACATAACAAGACATTTTTATTAAAAAAAAAACGTTACGTTGCCCCACACTAGGATTTTGTCCTGTGTCGTGGGTGCTTTTACAAACATACAAGTTCACATACACATGACACCCAGACCCGAAACTGAAATCTGTGGATCACACAAAGAGTGGTTCCGTGCGGGACAACGCGAACCCGCGACACGTTGCACGGCAGCCAGTTGCCCAGCCACCGCACCAACCGTGCAGTCAATATAATAATATTGTAAGGTCGATAAATGTTTTGTAGGTTGAAATCGTTTCAATTATTGAGGGTCAGTTAGTTTATTACCTACCTACTAATGAAGCACGACTACTTAAAGTTAGGACTCGGTAATTTTTTATCTAAGTTAAACAGAGTTCTGACTTTTTTCGATACCATAATCTAGTTTGATTTCAAATCGAGGATAGAGAAGTAATAAGAAAACGACTGACGTGTTTATAATGTTTATCAAGTTGTTCGTGAGTGAGCAGCCAGGCGGGGAAGCCGACGAAGTTGCGGATGGCCTTCAGCTTGTCCAGCGTCTTCAGCCTCGTGCTGGAGTCCATCCAGTCCAGGGACTCCACGGCTGCAGCGAACGCTTCACGCACGTCCTCCACCATCTCGATAGCCTGAGGGGAATTAGAAACAATAGTTATAAAAAATGTAATATACACTTCACTACATATTATAAAACAAAGTCGCTATCCGCCGTCCGTCTGTCCCTATGTATGCTTAGATCTTTTAAACTACGCAACGGATTTTGATGCAATTTTTTGTAATAGATAGAGTCATTCTTAAGGAAGGTTTATATGTATAATACATGCATATTGCACCCGTGCCAAGCCGGGCCGGGTCGCTATAGTTTGATAAAAAAATACTACTAAAGTTTTTTTAAATGAAAACGAATGGTTTTTGCTTGTCTATACAAGTATCTATGTACTATAATAATTATGTATCTTAAAACAGCAACCAACTAACCGATTACAATGGATCACCTCTTAGTTGTACTACGACGTAGCACGTCTACGCCTACGATTGCTACGTCTGTCAATGGCGTAGCAGACTACGATTTGGCTACGCACTACGCCCCGCGTAGTTCTCTTTGAGATGTCATTATTTTGAGGAAAATACGATGATGACAATTAATTAGAGATCACACTCGTAATATTGTGTAGATGAATTAAAACAAGATTTAGAATAGTAATTACTTGACGAGGAACTCGACTAGATGCAAGCCATGCTAGAGCTGCGACTAGATTCATGAGCAGCATTTCGCGACTGTCGAGCTGTTACTATAATAATTACGTGAGTAAGTAAACATAATAATTAATTTAGTATTTCTCACGAAAGTTATAATACGAATATGATTTAGAATACTTGAACTTGCCTTCTGGCGACTAGTATAGTCGAAGTGCTTCTTGACGTACAAGTAGCTGAGGGCGACCCCGAAGTTGGCGTTGACGTTGGCGGTGCAGCTCTTCCAGCGCGGCGTGCGCTGCTGCAGGCCGAACACGGCGCGCGAGAACTCGAAGCCGAGCTCGCGGAACGACCGCAGCGTCATCGGCGCCACCGTCGAGAACACGCTCCACCATAGGAAACGTTCTGGAATACGACCACAACAACATGTCTCAAATCAGAGTAAGCTCTTCAGTTTATGTCAGGAATAAAAGAAAATGGAAAGGTGATGTATAGATATTGTTTTCCTAATCTAGTAAATCTAAAACTATTTATGATAATGTAGCAAGTACCATACTAAATAAAAACTAATGAAACTTCCACCCACAAGTTTACCCAAGAACTATTATCACATATTAAGACAGTTTATTAATTCGACTGCCTCGTTGGCCGAGTGGTCGCCAGTGCGACTGCCGGGCAAGGGGTCTCGGGTGTGATTCCCGGGTCAGGCACAGTATTACTGGGTTTTTAAGAACATCTCAGTAGTAACACGGAATCTAGAATTATGCCCGGTATATGGCAATAGGCTCACCCCCTATTACATGGGACTCATAACATAAATAGTGAAAAATGGGTATTACATTGCAAAAGGCGTGATATTGTGATGTTATGTTATTAATTCGGGCAGAAGTTTCTGAGTTAGTCACTGTCAGACAAATGTCGAGAATTGATGTCATAACTATGTAATGAATGTAAAAGACATATCAAATAACAAATCTTACCAACAATAACAGGCTCGGTGTCGACCAGCAACACGGACAGTTTCTGCAAGTAGGGGAGGTCCATCACGATGACGCGGTCCGCGCGCGGCTGCAGCACCACGCTCGTGGCCGAGAACACCAGCTGCAGGTACTGCTCCCAGTCGTGCTGCATTACATCAACATAAAATTAAGAATCAATACCTGGGTACCTAAGGTTCAAGTTTTCTTTACTCTGACGAAGGAAGCCAAGGTATTCTTGCGACGTTTGAGTATTTCATAAAGAATATCTTTTTTTGTCTTCGTGTCGTGTAAGTAAAGTCAGTTACTAGAAGACCAACTAGTTGAAAAAAGGCCCTGCAAATGTATAGTCTTAAAAAGATATGTAGATACATCGGTACGTCTCAGAAACTGAATTACAACTCGCATTAAGATTGAGGGATAATTAGCTAGAATGTATTGTTATTTTGTAAGACTGTTACCTGTTTCCACTGTGCTGGCCCACCGCTGGAGCCCTGGATCAGTTGCTGTACGCTGACCTCGTGGAACAAGTGAGTACCACTGCGACGAACTTCCACTGGTGTCATTATCTAAAGAACAGAGTCTACAATTAGGAGAAAGGAAGGATACGATTTATAAGAATAGATCTTATTAATTTCACCTTGTAAAACACCAATTAAAAACAATGTAACATTCACTTCTCTCCTGTTAGGTATGACGAAATTGAAAATCTTAGAACGCAATAATATTTTTCCTGACCACTCGACCAAAGAGTTTGATTAACTGCAAGCAAAAACGCGCTGAAGATCATAACTCCAACTGACCTTAGCCAATTTCTTGCTGAACTCGACAATATCATCAGCAAACTGTTCAGCGTCGGTCTCGTTGTCAGCGATACTGATCATGGACTTGATGTACTTGTGGTACTGCGCCAGCTCGTGCGAGAACTGCTCCGGCTGCAGCAGGTAGCGGTCGCTGAACCCTGGGGATACTTGCTCGATCTGGAAATGAAGGGGTACTGTGGATCACTGTGCATTATCATTAGGTGCAATACTAAAATAACTGAAGTAGTGGCAGCAGGTAAATCAATATTGATTTAAATAATCTTCAATGGATTTTCGACTTTATTTCCAAACAATAATATGCTTAAATTTGCTTGTCCCTGTCTGACATTGAATGTCAATTAAACATATTAAACATAATTAACATAAAAATATAAAACATACCACGACGCGGTTCCTGCTGGTATTCCTAACATCCTCAGCGACCTGCACGCTGAGTAGCACGTTCAGTCCCAGGTTCCTACGTCCTTTACCCGCTACGGCCTCCCACGTGAAGTTAGCAGTCATCTCTGTAGGGGGCCGCGGTGGAAGACCCAACTTCTGCAGGATTCTTTGAATCGGCTTGATGCCGTCAACTTCTAGTTTTTCTGTAATATTAGAAAGTAATGGTATTTTAACTGACTGCCATGATGCGTGTGCTTAAGTGTAGTTTATACAATTGGCTATCACGTTTACTAACTTCAAAATATTTCGACGTATTTTCCATAATAATGGTTGAGGGAAGTAATCTGATATGCGCAATATTTAATAACAACAGGATTATATAACTAGATAACGCCTGCCGCTCGAGTACCGACAGATGATGCAGTAAATACAATTAACTTCTTGGATAATTATTAGAGTAATCTAGATGATCGTTTACATAGAAGTACGGAGCGTAAACAACGTTGCAATATAAATAAAAAATATCAAAATATTACATAAAAAATCTAGATCTTCAAATTAAAATTCACAAACCTGTCTCCTGAATAGTTTTGGATCTTTTTACAATATCATTGTCCGGTCTAAGTTTCGAATCAATCTCTGTATGAGCAAATCCGTTATGCAGTACACCAACAACAATAAACAGTAGAACTTTTAAACTAAGACTAGATTTAAATAAATATAAATCCATTGTATAATGTTTGTGGTACGATAGCAAAACACAATCTAAGCGATGGCGTCTAAGACTAATGTTTTTATTGATGCAAGAAAATAATTTAAAATTCATCAAGAAACGACATGGTACTTATTTTGCATCTTTTGCTATCCCCAACACGCGCATACTGTATTACGTATCTACAATAAGTTGGACATCAAGTGCGTCTAAGTTTTAAGTGAAACATAATGACAAAGAATTAATTCATATGTAGTAGACTGTGTCACAATTTTCTCATCAAAGTGTCGCAGTTATCCCTAACACGTGGATTGCAAAATAAGTGATGTAAGAATTACATGGGGTGAAATCATAACATGCGATTTATTTTTAAATGTATGCGACAATTTATAGTTATTATTAAAGGGCTAAATGCGTTGTTCTTTGAAAATGGAGTAATTTAATCATTACCTTACAAGTTACTTTAAATTACGTAAACAAAATAAGCTACAATATTATTTATGCAAATTATGGTGATACCCATCCTGGCATCCTATATGTTATGGTTATGTATTTATTGATATCTAGTATAGGCATTAGGTAGCTAGGTATTGAGTTGTATCATTGGCACAGAGTTAAGCGATCGACTAACAAGTTACTTTTTGCGGGTTGCATTCTCGCATGGAACAAACAAGTATTTGTACTATAATACGTGCAAATTACTCTGGACCTAGATACGTGTGTATACGATTCATTTGTAAATATACACCCAAATGAAATAGATAACAGCATGCTTTTTACGTAAGAGGCAGTATAGATATTGATTACAGCTAATCACTTGTGTAATTCAATTAACTTTAAACTGGTTTGAAATCAAAACCTAGTATTTTCCTTCAATTTCCCTTAAGTTACGCAGATATCTGCAATTAGGTACAAGCAATTATTTTCCTGCCATATCTAAACTGTTCTAATAATTTGAATTAAGATTTAAAATAACTATAATTAAGAACATCTTACTAAACTGAGATTTTGGGCTCTGTAGAACAATGTAACTAACATTTAAATTATGAGAACATTCCTTGTAATAGGCTTAAAGAACTAAATAGCTCTATTTGTTATCTTAGTTCATTTCTAAAGACAAAGACATGTTAAAACTAATTACAAAGCGATAGACATCTAATCTAAAAGGATGTGTCTACAACATTTGCATATGCAAATGTATTACTAACGTATTGTGAATGAGACGCCTAATTACTTTAACATAGCAATAACACGTAGATTAGTAATTATGAGTAATGGGTATATAAAAAAACGAAGGTATCCTTCCGTGAAGAGCATTCTGCGGTTGATATTAATATATTATTATAGTAATATGTTGATTAGCCGTTAGAGTAATTAAACTATTAAATTATATATAAATGCTATAAATTATTCTATTGCACGTGTGGCGACAAATGTTATGGAAAATCTATGGTAAAATGTGTTAATCTCCATCATTTAACCATAGCATAGTAATTTGTTTACTTGTGACTTATTTTTTTGTTATTTATCATGGCGGGATGTTTGTGTGGTTTGTTTATTTGTTGTTATTCAGCATAATTAGCGCTCGCTAAGAATTAATTAGCTACTTATAAGGTAAATATACAGATGCATGTGGGTAAGTCATAATAACGTTCAGAAGGTATTAGACTAGACCATTTTTTTGGCGGATCTGATAATCTACACGAGTCTCTGGATTGAAGAACCTGAATTTTATAAACCTTTACCTACCTTTTAACTCATCTTTGCAGCAGCCAGCTTCATAGACTCACTAATTTATTGAAATTAATCATGAAGAGGCCTACGTTGAGTAGTGGACGTGTAGTGGCTGATCCTTACTTCCTTACTTTCCTTACTTCCTTACTTATACTATAAATCGGTAAGTGAGTTTGTTTGTTCCGATTTCACGCCGTAACTGCTAAACCGATTGCTTTGAAATTTTGCAGACGTAAAGTTAGAAGTCTGGATTAAATAATAGGGTACTTTTTATCCCGGAAAAATATTCCCGAGGGAAACCAAAAGTATTGGTATAGATGGCGCTCCATGTATTGGTATATGTCACATAGGCTACTTTTTATCCTTTTGTGACGCGAGCGAACCGCGGGTAAAAGCTAGTTAAATATAAAGCATTCTAACTCACCAGTTCCAACGCACTGTTCACTGAGACAAGGCCTCGGAGTCCGGTACTCAGTGAGCACCAGCACCGCGGTGTATATTGCTAGCGCTATCAGGGAGATGCCCAGCGCGCCTATCAGCACTGATGAACATCGTACTGTGCGTTCTCTGGAAATAAAGATAAATACTATTATTTTATAATATGTGGGTAACATTAAACAGTGGAAAATTCTGACCTGTCTGGAAGTCATAGGGGGCACGTAGGACTATGTACAGCAGTGGACGACCTATGATGAAGATGATGTGATGATGTGAAGGGGAATGTGTAAGTAAAATTATGTCATTACACGACCAGCGCATTGGTTTGGACTCTCATGCGGAAGGATTTTTTAGTGATCTACAAAATAATGATGAATATATGAAACATGTAAAACTTAACTCGTCGAGTACCGTCATTATAGACACAATTATAGAACAATAGGTTGCGGTCACCGGTGACCGCTTGGTGTTTGACAGTTTAAAATAGGTACCTACTATTCAGAAGTTACGTTATAAACATAAATTATAAGAAGGAGTCAGAGGTATGAAACTATTTCAGGTTCCGCGTTATTTATTGTATCGAGACAAACATGCCTGGCCTGAGATCGCACCTTATACTTCTCGTCAAACTAGGAGCAGATTAATTTTTCTATCAATAATTACTAACTACGGCTATAAAAGTTCCAATACGAAGCACACAGTTACTGGGTTAGTATTAACAATTTACTAATTACCTACAGTACCATGGAGAGTAGGTATTAAGTTACATACATGGTGAGATTACTTTCTCTACACGATAGATAATACGTAGCGCCGTGTTTCCTATAGTTTAGATTCATATCAGACACGCGAACTTAGTGTATCTAACAAATATTTTTATTTACTAACAATTTGTTCCTTAAAAATTCATTATGACAAATCGACAGACCGAGTTGTGTCATTCAAATTTTCAAAAGACAAACGACAATGCCAAATCCTGACCCAGTCATAGAGTCATAATATCATTTACAAAAAAGTAAATTGATGAAAATAATTTAGACGAATAAGGAACCTTTTCACAATAAATATTTTTATTTTTAAACTTGCGGTTTGCAATCTAATAAAAAAAGAAGTTCAATCCCGGAAATACTTTTTTGCAATGCGTCTTCCATATTGTCCACTGACTATTTGCGTTACATCATACGCATCGCTTGTACGAAACTATGAAAATAAAAAAGTAAGTAACTGTAAAAAAGATATCATTATACATAAAATATTATATCAAAAGTATAATTATGTATAACATTTATTTATTTATTAATGATTACAGATGAAATCACTAAAATATAAAAGAAACGATTACTATCATTAGTTATTATTTTTTTTTGTGTAACGAAACGTTTTAAAGCGCTTGTCAGTTGTCAGCTGTCAGTGTCAATATTATCTTTCATTCGCTCTCTGCGTTTCCGTTGTTTTCGCGATAGTTATCATTATTGTTTTGTGTTTTAAACAAATCCGCAAGTTTTACAGGTTTCAGGACAAATGTCTAAGTATCGGTAATTAATACACTACACGATGCTGAATACTGCATACTTGTACATGACTTCTAATATAGTGGGTCAAAGATGTACTGAGCACCTGGCATTGTCCTTTAGTTATAGGGTATTTTTTTATGGGATAAGTCGGTAAACGACCACCCCATGGACACCTGAAAAACTAGAGGCGTTACAAGTGTGTTGCCAGCGTTTTGGGGATTAGGAATTATTGAGGGGGTATTGGGCCTCCGGTAACCTCATTCACTCGACGAAACACAACGCAAGCTCGACAAAAAGTTGTTTCACGTCGGTTTTCTGTGAGGCCGTGGTATCAATCATGTCTAGCTGGACCATTCGTGCCGAAGCATGACTCTCCCACACTTAAAGGCTGTTATTTGGCGTTCATATTAGTAACGATAGTTCAGATTCAGATCATATAATTTCATCAACATTTATTCTTCAGTTTAACAGTGAAAGTGTAACAAACAAATAACTTTCGTATTTAAGATACTCGTATTAATTGGCCTTGTAGTGGTAATAAATGATTCAGTTTATTATTTATTGCGTATAAACTGAGAAGTACAGGCCAAAGCCCTCTTTCTACAAATAAATTAAAAACTAAAAAAGAAGCAGAAGACACTTGTAAGCAACCTCTTGTTACCAATGAATGTCCTTTCTTAATCGTTGGATTGAGATCAATTACGACATTAGTTACCTAGGTGAGTATATACAGAGTTTTAATCAAAAACTTACATCGATCTAGAGACTGGATTAAGATTGGTTTTTAAATTCAGTTCATAAATATATTATAGATACGTGAATGCAGTAATATATGCAAGTAGATATATACATATCCCGAGCGTAGGGCGCGTCGCGTTGCGCGCCCCTTAAAGGGCCATCAGACCACCACAGATGGGGCCCAACAGGGCCGATACCGCTATCGACGTTCAGAAGAAGGAACGGGGTGGTTTTTAGTCAGTAAGAGTCTGACACTCCCCCCCGCCTCTGGGAGGTCAGTCATTCAATGATTTCCCCCTTAAAAAAAATGACATACATATATGTAGGCACATACATTATACAAACATACTATACAGCCTCTTAAGATTTTAGAGGGTTATTTGCAAAAAGCCACTACAATAAACAAAACACAAGATTGTGTTTCTTTTTTAAAACAAGGCTTAAGTGAATCCACACCTGGGTTTTGCCTATATCGTGAGTTCGTATACAAAAACGATAACTACAAATTCACGATCACACGCAGACCCGAAACATCAACTGGGTATTTTACTCAATCAAAATAAAAAAATATTTCGACGTAAATCGTAATGTTATGTTATGTTGATGTTATATCACGATTTAATCCCGAAGGCGTAGGCCAAGCCATACATTATAGAACTTAATTCCACTGCACAATGTAACACCCACTTTTTACTATTTATGTTATGAGTCCCATGTAATATGCCTATTGCCATATACCGGGCACAATTCCAGACTCCGTGCTACCACTGAGATTTTTTAAAAACGCTATAGTACTTTGTCCAACCTGGGAATCGAACCCGAGACCCCATGCCCGGCAGTCGCACTTGTGACCACTCGGTCAACAAGGCAGTCGATTTTTCAATTCAATAAAATGCCCAAAAATAATATACGATGAACTTTCTAGCTATTTTTGAGAAAAAAAATATCAACTATCATTTTATTAGTAGGCAATATCTTATTTGGCTGATATCCTGTAGGTCAGCAGGTAGTAAAAACAATATTAATGTATCGATTATAATATCCGGAATGCAATGCAATCTGTATGGAAATTTCACCGACACATAAATTATTATACATAGGAAGTTATGACTTCATTCTTATTAATCCTTATGGTACAAGTTACAGATCTTTTTTTGCAATACCATTTACGTTTAAGAGAGAACCCATTGGTGCCGCTCTAAAACAGTGGCGTATCTACAGGGTGGCAAGTCCGGAAAATGCCACGGGCCCCCTGGAGTTGCAAAGATCTCCGTTCAAAGGTTTTATCCGAACCTTTCTGTTTTTATTGGGAATAAGCGCCCATCTGATTAATTTGCCACGTGAGCCGAAGGGTTACGCCACTGCTCCAAAACACTTTTCACTATTTATGTTATGAGTCCCATGTAATAGGGGGTGACCCTATTGCCTTATACCGGGCACAATTCCAGACTTCGTGTACTGAGAATATTTAAAAATCCAATAATACTTTGCCCGAATCGGGAATCGAACCCGAGACCCCATGCCCGGCAGTCGCACTTACGACCACTCGGCCAAAGAGGCAGTAAATTATTATCGAGTATATTAAAATATTAGGTATTGGAAAATTCCTTCTATGCTCTTATCCATAAATATAATAAAGAATTAATATTTCTATGCTCTTGTCTTATGACTCACGAGAAGGACTGTGACACGAAGCATAGAGTAGGCAGTCTTTTTGACCTCAAAGTAATAAATAAACTGTGTGTTGGGGCGGTCTTTTTACCCTCTATTTAGACTTTGCCCTCTATCATGCGTTGGATTTCTTTTGCACGATATCGTTCGCGGTCAAACTTCCCAACTGTACCACGCAAAAGTTTCTTATCTACGCCCTGCCTGCCCCCTACTGAGTGTAGAGGTCTCGGATAGATGTGACGTAAATATAATTACAAAATAATACCGATAATTCAGTTTAAATTTATAAATACCTTCGTGAAATATTAAGTTCAAAGGAAACATTGTAGATATAAAACTAGATTACAATAAGTTACTGTTTTCCTGGAATAATTTTCTAATGAAGAAAGTTTTACCCCTTCCAATATCATCTGGTTACGAAGTCTGTTAATATCTTGTATGCGTAAGGAATAATGTACTTTATTGCAAGAGTGATATATCTTATAATCACTATGCAAGGCCTAAGTTGCACATGGTGCAGAAATCGAAACTGTACGCAGCGAACCGTTGACGCTCATTCATATTATAATCTTACGCATTGACAAAGTAACTTAGTATTAAAATCGTGTCAAAGAGGAAGTTTATTCGGAAAGTACAAAGTCAAAGTTAAAATGACGTTCAAGATTCTTATTTCAAATAAACCACAAAATAGATTCGTCCGTCAGTCTGACCACCAGCTAAGCTCATTCCAAAATGTAGTTTCGTATCTAAGGTCAAAGCTCATTTTTGTTATATTACATTGTTTAATTTCGTCATTGTTATTTAAATGATTTTCACAATCATGACTCTGCATTACTATAATCCCTTCAATAAACTCATAATTTAATATCGCGTCACTGTTCGGATCTCTTCCGGCGCGCCCGCGGCTGTGCAGGCGCGGAACTCTCAACCAATAACAATTGCCATTGGAACAGTTTCACTTTTCCCCTCAACCATCGGAGGAAGTTCTTGTAAATAGGACAAATGATACTCTTTAACGTGTAATCTTGTAAGAACTAATAATATCGTATACCATAGATGATAATAATAGTTTTTTACATTTTGTATTTTGTAACATGCATTTTCATCATTTTGTATACAAATAAAGAATTGAAACACGTAAGTTTACGCTACATGTATCTTGATTAATTGTCATGCTGGCCCGGAGGTTTAAGACGTCCGCTTCTC